TTGGTGGAATTTAAAATCTCTCAAAGGATTCTTGTTTCACGTGTATTACAAGTGTGGTGGAGGAGTAAAATGCTTGTAAAAGACGTGTCGTGAATTGATTAAGTGTTAAGGATTAGTCGGAAGATATTGAAGGTGGCTCGTTTGGCTCGTTTTTTCCGATAAAACAAAACTGGAAAAAATGAGCGACCGCTCAAAAAATGAGCGACCGCTCAAAAAATGAGCGACCGCTCAAAAAATGAGCGACCGCTCAAAAAATGAGCGACCGCTCAAAAAATGAGCGACCGCTCGGAAAATGAGCGGGTAGCTCATTTTCTCTGATGAACAAAACTGGGGAAAATGAGCGACCGCTCGGAAAATGAGCGACCGCTTGAAAAAATGAGCGACCGCTCGGAAAATGAGCGGGTAGCTCATTTTCTCTGATGAACAAAACTGGGGAAAATGAGCGACCGCTCGGAAAATGAGCGACCGCTTGAAAAATGAGCGACCGGTCAGGAAAATGAGCGGGTAGCTCATTTTCTCTGATGAACAAAAAATGGAAAATGAGCGACCGCTCGAAAAATGAGCGACCCGCTTGATTTTTCTGAGTTGTTCAAATGAACGAAAAATCGTGTCTGTTCGGAAAAAACTTCCCTATCCTTGCACCTTTTTACTTTTGGAGTGTTAAAAACATTCCTAGACGTCTGAACACAGAGGAGTATGAAATCTAATTGATTTTTGAGAGATTTGTGAGCCTTGTTGGTGAAGAAACTTGCTACTTCTTCACCATCTTTTACTGTTCATCTTCTTTCTCTAGTTTTTCTGTTTCGGGCAACGTTTGAGGAGCAGATCAATCGTTGCTGATCTTCTTTGTATCTCTAAACGTATTCTCGGGTTTCTCCTTTGCTCGATGGGGAGGGAATAACGTTTTAGGAAAATGTTCTACACGCCTAGAAGATCATATCCGGTTCTTTCGTTTTTATTTCGATTTCATTGTTTTTATTGTTCTTTCTTGCTGTATCCAGACCCACATTTATATAACATGTTGGAAATATAGAAACAAAAAAAAAAAAAAAAAAAATACAGGCTTTGGTTAATGGGGTGATATTATTATATAGAATAATTGGTTAATGGGGTGATATTATTATATAGAATAATGTTTAGAGTTTTAACTTGGATAAGTTAAAACGATTGCTTCATAATAAAAAATATATATTTCCAACATGTTATATAAATGTGGGTCTGGATACAGCAAGAAAGAACAATAAAAACAATGAAATCGAAATAAAAACGAAAGAACCGGATATGATCTTCTAGGCGTGTAGAACATTTTCCTAAAACGTTATTCCCTCCCCATCGAGCAAAGGAGAAACCCGAGAATACGTTTAGAGATACAAAGAAGATCAGCAACGATTGATCTGCTCCTCAAACGTTGCCCGAAACAGAAAAACTAGAGAAAGAAGATGAACAGTAAAAGATGGTGAAGAAGTAGCAAGTTTCTTCACCAACAAGGCTCACAAATCTCTCAAAAATCAATTAGATTTCATACTCCTCTGTGTTCAGACGTCTAGGAATGTTTTTAACACTCCAAAAGTAAAAAGGTGCAAGGATAGGGAAGTTTTTTCCGAACAGACACGATTTTTCGTTCATTTGAACAACTCAGAAAAATCAGGCGGGTCGCTCATTTTTCGAGCGGTCGCTCATTTTCCATTTTTTGTTCATCAGAGAAAATGAGCTACCCGCTCATTTTCCTGACCGGTCGCTCATTTTTCAAGCGGTCGCTCATTTTCCGAGCGGTCGCTCATTTTCCCCAGTTTTGTTCATCAGAGAAAATGAGCTACCCGCTCATTTTCCGAGCGGTCGCTCATTTTTTGAGCGGTCGCTCATTTTTT